AAATAAAGAGGGAATCTCTTCCCAACATTTACGAAATTTTGACTCCATAAAATAAATTACATAAACAAAAATTGACAAATTCCTATGCTTTTGAAATGCTTGTGTAAATTAGAAAAAGTGTTGTAAAACAAGTGAAAATATAGGGTAATAAATACTGCTACATTCCTTTGCGGCATCAAAAAAGGGTTTTAAAACTTTTTTCACGACAAATACAAGATTTCATTCTCAATCTTCCAAATTATGATTTGGTCCACATGTATGCCTACCATTATAATACATTGAAATAATTTTATCATAATTTTCACATGATTGTAACATAAGATATATAGAGTTCCATCTATGTGATATATCAGTGACAAATGATTTCTCTTATAAATCATACTCTGCACATAAACTATTAAATGATTGCTTTCTTACTGGTGATATAGTAATAAAATTAATTGTTTGTCTAATTTTATCTAACGTTGATTTTATATGTTCTAATCCATCTTTTACAATCAAATTAATAATGTGACATACACAACGTTGATGAAAAATTAAACATCCAATTGTAGGGTTCAAATAATTAATAAATTTTTCGACAACAACTTTATTTACGCTAGCATTATCAAAAGTAAAACTTCGAACCATGTCTTGCATACCATATTCTTGTTTAATATCTTTTAAAACCATGTATGTGTTAGTCGCATTATGAGAATATTCTACACATCTGAATACAATAATTCTTTTATGCATAATCCATAGGTGATCAATGTAATGAGTTGTAGCAGCAATATAACCTTTTTATTTTATTAATACCGGTCCATAAATTAGAGGTAACTAATATAAGAGAATTATAAGTTTTTAGACTTTCAATAGCAGTTTGTTCTCTTATGTTATATAATTTTATAGTATCAGAACGAAGAGTATTTCTATAATAAGAATGATACTTGGGTTGGAGATAATTGATAATTCTGCACAAGACGAGTAAAGTGTGCTTACTCGATCATCGTTAGCGGCATCTCTACTGTAGCCACGTATGTAGTCATTCCTTCACGAAATCTTTCCTTTGTATATACAAAAGTGGAAAGAGTAGAATCGAAACCGGTAAATGTTAGTTCGGTTTGTTTCAGGTCAAGACCGACTGGTTTCGCTTTACAACTTCTTAATATGTGTCTATTTAAATGCGATGGTGCTCGAACTAGGTTTCCAACTAAGTCTTTACCACAATAATTGCAACATGCTTTCCAAATATCAACTCCATTTTTAACCCCAACTTTTTTACGAGTCATATGTTGCCAACAATCCGCAAACTCTTTTTTCGACCTTTTAACCTCGACTACTTTCTCTTCTTCGATATCTTCCAAATCAATTGAAATATTTTGAGATGCATCGTACCCCAATGGAGTACTCGAACTACCTTTAAATTGATTAATCTTATCACGAGTAAAATCCATGTGTAAGTATTATAATAAAAAATATTGAAAAATAGAGTAAAAGAAATTGGAGAGTATAATGCTGAAATTGAATATTGCGTAAAGAAATTTGATATAGATTGATATGAAGTTGTAAATTTTTTTCCGTATTTATATACAAAAATATATATCCGTTTTAACTATATTTAATTTACAAATTCAAATTTTGACAAGACAATTACATGAACAAATCTAATTTTATAGTTGCGTGCACGCCTGCTGCGTGCAGGCAGCTAAAATAGCTGCATGCACAGCAGCTACAATTACTGCACGCAGCTACAATCTGTAATTGTAGCTACTGTACATGCAGCTTTTAATTTGAATTTTAAAATTTTTTATATATTTTTTAATAATAGCTGGACACGGGCAGATGCCCCAAAATGGGGCTCGGCCCGAGCCTCGACTCGGTGCAACCGAGCCTGAACCGTTTCCTGCTCGAGCTTTTTCCAAGCCGAGCTCTAGCCGCCCGAGCCCACGACTTTTTTGCTACCCCTATTTGGGCTTAGGCTGTTGTTGATTTTGGACACGGGTTGCAGTTTAATTTGAACATGGACTAATTTTAAAAAAATTGGCAGCAAGTGGATCTCGGCTGGGATTGCACGGACTGTAGCCCAGGCCAGTCGGAGAGTGGCTTCTCCTCCGGTGGGATGAACGGTGGGCGAAAAGCCGGTGTGGCAGTCGCAGTGTGTTGGGGTCGGCGCGTTGGTGTACAAGAAATGCCGACAGAATGTGTGTCGCCAGGAGAGATATTCTATATTTCGTTTCGTTATGTTCACAAATCCATTTCCAGATTTGTGGCATTAGGGAGAATTAGCCCATGTTTGGTAGAATTTATAATTTTTAATCTAAATCAAAGTCAACAATTAATTTTAACCATATTATTTTATGAAATCCACAACTTTTCAACCACATATTTCATCAATTTTTATCAAAATTTATTAAAAATATGAATTTAATTCTAATGATTTATAAATTCAAGCAAAAAGAAAAATAAGGAAACACTGGAAGTTATTATAGTTTTTCTTCTACTCCTTTTTGTTTTTATATAGTTTGAACTTTTTTCCATATCGTGTATTTTGAATTGTAATTCTTGTCGTTATTTGCTTCCCTTTCAAATGGGTTTTTTTTTTTATTATGTGCAGTGTTATTGTTTTTAGAATTAATGTAATGCTTGTTATGATTCTATTTCGTGTATATTGAATTTTCTTTGTGCTCACAGCAAAATGGTGATTCTATGTTGATTTCCATGATGGTATAGTAATTAAAGTCACTACGAAAAAATTATATACGATGTAGCAAAGATTGACATAATGTAACACGGTGTAAGTGCTGACGCCAAAAACTTGCATAGCTCGCATGTGGTTGAGGGTTCCGCGTTGGATGATTTGACATTAATTAAAGGGATTGGATCAATTGAATCACATAGGCTCATCTAAGCTTGGGCTTGGTCCAATAGCTTAACGGCTTATCTTGACACATTATATTCTCTATAAATAGGCAAGATAACTTCACATTTAACATAAGTTTTCACCTCCTCTAACCACTCCCCCTCTCCTATTTTCCGTTACACTCTGTGCATATTATTTTGACAATTAACTTGATCGTCAAAGTGTGAACGATCATCGAACTTTTTACTCCGGCTAATGACATTTGCCTTCTAACGACGTGTTCAATATATATGTTGAATCTAGGTTGAAGAGGAGGTGATCGGAGTGTTGTTGGCCATATGGTCGACGAATTTTTGAAACTAGCAAATTAGCGCCGTCTGTAGGAAGTGAACCACAAAGAAATCGTGTGGGAAAAAAAATGGAGCGCAAACAATGGCTATATATTTCGTGTTGCATTTTACCATCTTCAAGGAAGCATCAAAGGATCAAATAAATCGCAACATTCAGGAGATGACTTGGAACTTAATTGGTGATAAAAACCCATTACTCAAAGTAACATTAGAGATTATGCTTGAACTTGATTGCAAATAGAAGTATTGATCCAAAAGAGCAAGCAGAGATATGACGGTAATTTCATCCAATCTGGTGAATCAATCGAGCTACACACCCAGGTTAATTGACAGGCAATTTCCCGGCTGACGTGGCAACCAATTTATAAAAAAAACAAAAGATTAAATTTATCAAAATTGGAACCCCTTCCCAAATGCAATGACCCTTTCCCCCAAATCCACACTCCTTCCCCCAAATCTACACCCACCACCCACATAATCAATTCCTCCCAAATCAAGCGCCACAATTTCATCATCTCCGATTGCACGTTATTCTAAGGTACCATCGCATCCTCCGGCAGCAATTTTATGTACTATTCCGCCATCGGACGATTTTGAAGGTCGTACTATACTTGAAGTTTCCTCTGCACCACTCCGGCCGCTCTTCCTGTCGTAGCTACCAGCAACTATTTGAAAGAAGAAAAACGAAGTTATAAACAGGTAGATTTCGAGCAAACCGTGTTTTTCCCATTTTCTCTTTCTCAACTTATTTGCTGGCATTTAAATTATATAATATATCCACCAAGAAATTTAATAAAGTTTAGGGGAGCAAATACATCTATATCATCTGCAGTACCTTATATTTCTGAATTAGATGAAGGTCAGCTTAAAAGAAATTACTGCAAATGACAGCGCCTAAGGGTTACCATTAGTAGAGTACTTAATAAGATTGGTGAGGCCATATGAAAAAATAACCTGGCATTGGAGTTACCATGGTCAGGGCAGCAACGGAAACACCTGCATTGGTAGGATGGAGGTGGTGGAAGAAGTTTACATCAAATGGTATTCCACATGTAATGGTGGATACAGGCTGCTGAAGGGGCGCAAAGTTGATGTTGTTGCTGCTCGACTGTATTTGCAGGTTAGCGTTAGTAGGAGGTTTCCCTTTTGCTTCCAGTGGGAGTTTCGAGTGCTTGGCTATCCCACCAACAGGAATGGAGCTCTTGGCAATGGCTTCCACCTTGTAATGACTCATCTCGAAATTGGTCACTGCGTTTGCTCTCCTAAACTTTATTGCAGCTATATTCATTTCGTTATGGATCTGTAATTTCTCATTCAATCTAGCTGGGTTATTGAATTCCTGTTTAGTATGTTATATTGATTTTGTTTGGAATATCGTATAATGGTCGAAAGGAATGTTGGAATATGTCATAGTTGTAGATCTAAAAGCTACTATTTTGCCGAATGCCCACAAAAACGCCGATGTCCATCATGCCAACATGGATTTGAGAAGTGTTTCGTAGTGGACAAGGAAACTGCAAATAAAGGGTGATTATTTCTTTGCTGCAGTGACAATTGTGGTTTGTGGGATTGGATTGTGAAGGAAAAATCAAGCGGTGAATCGTCTAATGGTAGCACTTTCTCAATTATTCATGCGGCGCCCGAAAGTGTTGACGATATATCGCATATGTTCCAATCTCGCGTTTGCGTGAACGATGAAGTAGACCTTCATATTTCGGTGAAAGTGACGGTATGCAAGACAAAAGGTAGCAGGAGTCGAATACATGAGTAGAGGGGTCGCCTTGATTAGTAGTTATTAATAATCGGTTACATAAATTTTTGTATATGTAGGATTAATTATGACCAATGCTATGTGAACTATGTTCGTAAACATTTTATCCTATACATTTGTATGTTCTCACCTGCAAGGGCTGTTGAACAATTGGATTACTATGTAATCACTCTTTTAATGAAATGTAAGTTATTCTTCCTATTAAATTGTTGCCAAAATTCGCTCCAGACAATAAAACCCGTGCCGCATAGATGCTCAAGATTTTCAGACGGAAGGTTAATGCTTGTTTATTTTAGGGATTGATGGAAGCCTTCTACGCTAATGAATCCACCACCTCCAATTAAAATATGTGATAATTCTTTAAATGATGATTGCATTAAAATCACTCCAGTCATGAAAATGACATTAGACAAAATTAGTATTAACATAACCATTATATTCGAAATCATTCATTTATCATCCAACTCTATCCATACTCTCAAAAGAATAACTTGTTATAGCAACAATATCCCTTCTAATGTCATGTTTCTGGATTTCATTTCATTCATCTACGGAAGCAAAATGGATAGTAGAATAAGCTTTGAAAATTCGACAAACAAGCCATTTTTGCTTGGAACTGAGAAGTAGCTTAATTTATCTCCTCCTTCACAACACCTACACCATAAGAATACCCATCAAGCTCATATCTTGAATAAATAAAGTCACAATGCACTAAAGAAAAAAAACCCCTTCATATATAGAAAATGCACAGAAGAAAAAAACCACATTTGTATATAAAAAATGCACATTGAAAAAAAACCCCTTCATCACATAAAAAATATTAGAATCATTTTCTTACGAACATTTGCATGGATGAACAATTCTGTCATCAAGTATAAACCAACATCAGTTGCCTAAGTCACCTTAGTCCGGTGAACGGGGGTTGTAGTACGGCATTGCTTTACCTACAATACATGAGATCATTAACCGTGATTACATAAATGAACTACACATCTGAAGTTTACAGGTCTTACACCGTTCTTACCTTGTGAACTGTATATAACATTTGCTGATAAAGGAGGGATCAAACTCGTAAGGGATAGTGGTCTTACGATGGGATACTGTGATAACGGGAATATTGTCGGCACGGAATAATGTAAATATGAGCATGGCGTTGTCATGGAATATTGTTGTGGTTGAAATAATTGATTGTCGACAACACTATCTGCCATATCACTTTGCCTCGTTCTTGGGCACTTTCCTTTGCGCGATGCCGAAATGCCCTGAATGTGGATCATATGATGTTAGTGTTAATTTTGTTGAAACATTTGTAGCACACAGTCTAAGGTGTTAACATACCTTGGCTTTCTTAGAAGTCAATTCTAATGGACCTTTTCTCCAAAGTTTCTTTGGCGCCCCCTTCGGATCACGTATGGTTGTGAAGATGTACCAATGTATCAAATTTGGACTTGTAATGCTCTTTGAATAGCTTGGGCAAGCGAGCTCCTTGTACACCAATGCACCCTAAAACTTGTGAGGAACCATGTAATATGGGACTTCAAAAAGTTACCTACAAAACAACGTGGAAGAGAATTAAACTAAAAACATAAAAGATGCAGAAAAGTAAATAAAAGATGAAAAGTTAGAAAAGTTGGGTTGCCTCCCAACGAACGTTTTTTTATAGTCTTTAACTCGACTTTAGCAAATGAATCATGGGCTCCTATAGAAAGCTTCGCATGCTTTGTCCATTTTTCTTCTTTTGGCCTTAGTCCACTCTTCGTTCGATCTCCAACACTCATCATCACCCTTTGTAATGTAGTAGGACTTTCCCATTCCATCCAATTCAAATTCAACTATAAAGATTTCAATCCCTTCAACAGGCCTAATCACAAACTCAATTTTAGGGCAATCAATGAAGTTGAAAGCATGCGCACTACTCTCGTCCTCATCATTTGCTACAATTTCGCTCGGTTTATTTGTGATTGATTTGCCATTTTCTTCAAGTTCTTCAATAGTTGATTCATCATCGGATTGAATGACCAGTCCGCTATCAAACTCCACAGGCTATGGCAAGTCATTTCTATTAAACCCCTCGAGTGGATTATACCCCCACTTTTGAAATCCATCCCAGTATTTATATTTTCCCGCAAGCATGTCTTCTTCATCCAACTTGGCAAGTTCAGTGTAATATTTTGCAAGTACCCTTTCATTCAAATAAGTTGGACCATCACCAAAAAATGTGATGTGGTGATGGTCTCGTCCCAATCATCGGATACCCAGTCTCCCGCGAGCATGTAGCTTTCATCGGAATTATCTAGTGCTTGTTTTCGACATTTCAAATAAAATCTAAACGTAAGAAGTTTAGACATTTGAGCTTCAACAGATGAATACAAGCATAGTCCTCTACAATGTATCTCTTGACAAATGTCGCATCTTGGACCTCCAAACATATTTCGATAGTCACTGTAGAGACTCGATAGTGCAAACATTTTGTGACTTTACCAAGTTAGAAATCAATTAAATCTCTGAAAAATACGGGGAGAAAATACAAACACAAGAGAAATTAGTAGTACGGGGGTTAGCCAAAATAAACAAAAACAAAAGCAGATAAAAATAAATAAAAGAAAGTGTTAAAATTAAAATTAACTAAAGTGATAATCAAAGTAAAAACATTCCCCGGCAATGGTGCCAAAAACTTGTTCGCTAAAAATCGTACCGCAAGTGCACGGGTAGCGTTCAAGTAATAAAGTTGACCTTAAGAGTCTGAATTGTCGATCCCACGAGGAATGCATACTTTCGATTANCACAATTAAAAACATAATTTGAAATGCGATAAATAAACTAACAATCTACAAAATAAGAAAATAAAATATCTTGGAAATTTCGGAGGGAAGAACGTGGTTGGAATTGACGATGTCGCTTAACCTATTGTTTCATTAATATCAAACTGATCATACGCTTATGCAAATTACCAAAATGCGATAGTTAAACCCGATTTTCGTGTTTTAGTTAATACCCTCTTTCAAGTGATATTAACCTTAATTAATTAATTAATACCATATATTTCTATGTTGATACAAACTTAACCAATTGCATGATTTTTTGTGAAAATAACTTAATTGATCACATAAAGTAGGTGTATATTTCTATATCACCTAGACGCGCCTAGAACACCAAGCAAACACATTGTATCAATCATTTAAGTCTATTAAATGCAACTATTTTTCAATAATAACATAAATACCTAATTACTACATCTATTGTTGTCACACAAATGAAGTAATCTTAAACATGATGATCAATACACTATGATTTTTATAACAAATGCATTTTTCACTAAACATGTAGATATATCAATAATTAATGAAACTAGCTAGGTTAAGTTCAATCATAAATTCTAACACAACAAACTTAGCTCATTTTATAGATATGAAAACAAAGGAAATATTTAAACAAATTCATTACAAGTTTGGCAAATAAATGAGAGAAATCAAAGTATAGATGAACCCCTTTTAAGCTTGGTATTGATCTTCCCCCAATTCTTTGCCAAGTTCTTTGTAGTGATCTCCTTGTAGCTCTATGATTCCTCCTCCAAAATGAGCCAAGAACACAACTAAAACAAAAGAAAAGAAAAAGAAAAGAAAAGCAAAAGGGAGAAGAAGAGAAGAGAGAAAAAAATGCTAAAACCTAAAGCTAAACTAAACTAATCTATTTAGTTATAAAACTAAAAAACAAACTAAAAACTAATCCTAAAAAAGACGTCCAAGACTAGTATAAATAGGATGGATATTTTCATTTCTTAGCCATTAAGTTAACTAAAATATCCTAGGAAAAAATGCAACTAAAGTTCCCAAACTTTTGGAAAGTGAGCAAAATGGTCCCTCAACTTTGATCTTGTATAGTTTGGTTCTTGAATTTTGACTTTCATTTCATTTATGCCCATGATAAATTTCACTTCAAGTCCTTCACCTTTCTGGATTGTGCAATTCAGTCCCCATCTTCACATTTTTGTGCACTTTAAATCCTTTTTCTTCCTTTTTCGCTCTGTTCTTCTTCTTATTGCGGTTTTCGCATACAAAAGTGGAAATTGCACAATTATGAACAGAAATATATTCAATTTCATTTCCAATTAATTCCAGAAAAGTGTTAAATAAGTGTGTTTTTACACACTTATCAGCTACAAGTCAATGTCACATATCTCAATTCTCCATCGTTTCCCCTTTTCGAGTTTCTTTTTTGATGGGAAAACCAACGGCGTACGCATATTTTTGTACAAGTCAAACATATCCTTCAAATCCTTAAACTGCATACCATCTCAAGTGAATGGGGGTTGTCCGATGAATGGGGGTTGTCCCAATGATGTTTCACCTTCTACTACGTTAACAGAATCCATCCAGTTCTCATCATCCTCTTCCACCAAAACATCATCATGCTCGTTTGGCACTCCATCCATAATTTCTTCGGCTGCAATAACATATTCAATCACATTCAGTAATACAATTAATAACACTATGATATATAGCTACCAAATTATTCTA